CCGCCAATGTCACCTTTTCGGCCTCGGTGCACCCTAGCACTTCGAAGGCCTTCTCCAACTCCTCAACCCAACGGGGTGCGGCCTCGGGATCACCTTTACCGTTGAACTTTGGCGGCTTTAATTTTAAGAACTGCTCTACCAACTTGGACATCGGCCTGATCACATTCACTAGCGCTGGAATTGGATCCTCCTGATTCCCCTGATTCCCATTATTTCCATCGTTTCCATTATTCCCATTGGCCCCATTGGCAGCAGCCATGGCGGCCTCAACAGCAGCAGCTATAGCGGCATCTCTCTCTTGGGCTAGCCTACCTCCCAGAATTCCAGCTTCCTCGAGGGCCTCAAAATTCCATCTACCCTCGGATCCTCGGCAGCCCTTACTTGCCGTTCTATAGGGTCCTGCTCACGACCTCTACCTCTGTCTCTACCATGGCCTCGACCTCTATCTCTTCCTTGGCTACTCATCTTCCCAACTCGCACGCTCACCTACCTGCTATAATTCCATTCAGGAATTAGAGACCTAAACCAAGCTAAATCGGTCTAAGGTCCTAGGCAGGGAATTTAACACAATAGCAGTCAAGCAACTAGCATGCGGCCTTACATAAACAGCACAACATCTCAACCAAGGAGATTCGCGTACTTACCTCGGGTCCTGCCGCACCTGCACTTTCCGGGTCAGTTTATACTACCAATCAATCAAGACACAGACAGTCAGGAGGTACATTTAGCACACGAGGTCACCCTACTAGCTACCCAAGGTCATCGCTCCTTATCACTTCAGGCTTCGACCTAATTGGATCGAGCTGACCTTGCTCTGATACCAAATCAAACGTGGATGTCACTCCCCGAACCCTACGAGCGCGCGATCATCCCTCCGAGGTCGATTCAAGTGCGACGTCCTAGGACGCGTCGCCGATCCAACGCCCAACACAGAGATTAAAGCACACGCGGAAACGATACAATACCCGAACAATTTTAAACCACATAACCAAGGATAGCCATACAACAAACAACATGAACAAATATACACTTGCATTGATAATGGGTAAACATATACACTATCCATTTACAGCCCACGCTCAAAAATCAAAAGCGAATCAACAGCCACCAACGTCAAAAGGGGGTACGTGGCTCGGCGGTCAAGCATTATATCTAACCGGGGCACCTCCCAAAACGTATCGGTACGCCTGCCATCCTCAAGGCCGGGGGTCTGAAAAGTTGGGTTAAAACAACAGTGAGAATAAATCTCAGCGAGTAGGTTCCTTAAACCTAAGCTAGGCTAACATGCACCTCCTGACGAGCACTAAACAATCACATACAATGTTACAATGATCAGTTCCGGACGAGACTCACTAAAACGAAATGAGAAATAATCATCTATTTTATTAATCCCGGAAGTGGGTCGAATTCAAGACGTTACAATGTTACTCTTTCAGTTTCTAAACTCACTAACCTAACAATGGCCGGTTTACTTCTCTTTCTTGTTCTTCTATTGATTGCCTCAAGCGGGGGCCATTCGGTCTTGGTCGACACCATGGTCGGCCAAGACGGGACAGGAACTTCACAACCATTAACAATGCGGTCGTGAAAGCTCCGAACAATATCAACATCATGAAGGGGTACTTCATGATACGGGTTTTTTGTTTTTAAATTAATACCACAAAAAACCTCAAACTGGTACACCTGTGACAAAGTTATCATAAACTAATTTTTTGACCATCAATAACTCCAAACTGGTACATTTGTGACAAATTTACCCCAAGCTAATTTTTTGACCACCAACAATCTTAAACTGGTACACCTGTGACAAATTTACCCTCCGTTAGTTTCCACTAAATTGAATTAATAGCATGAAAGAACCACAAACCGGTACACATGTGATAGACGGAGAGTAAAATCCCAAATTGATATATCTGTCAATTGTCACGTGTTATCTAACTCAACAATCTGACTGTAAAAGTTAATGGAAACTAAAGGAGGGTAAATTTGTAACGGGTGTATCAGTTTGGGATTTTTTGTGGTAAAAAAATTATTTTGAGGCAAATTGGTCACAAGTGTACTGGTTTGGGGTTTTTCGTGATATTAACCATTTTTTTTGTCAGAACTTCCGGATATATGTGACCACCGGTGTTTATGAGTATGTGTTAATTGTTGAGAACAAGAAATATCTCATGATCGGAGATGGCATCAATTGTTCAAAGATTTAATCAATAAAGAAGAGATAATCTCTAACTTAGTCGTTTAAAGATTGAACGAAAGTGACATTTGAAGAATATGACATAAAAATTCAGAATTTCCACATACTCTAAGATAAAACAAAATCAAATTTGTGAAGAAGCTAATAACATTCAAAATTGCGTTCTTTTTTTAATTTTTTCTCGATACATCCATATAGCAAAACTTTCAGTTTAGAACTTTCAAGCTACATTTGCGCAGTTTATAACTTTTTTCATCGGCATTATTTAACATTAAATGATGTTCGGCAGAATTTCATAAGCTCTAATGAAGTCCATGTCTCTGTTTCTTCTTGCTAGCTGATTTCCACACATGAAGATGACCAATTTCTGGATTTTCTATGGCACGTTATGGCCTCATTCTGTTGAAGCGCTCGTGGTCGGGCAGTTTCCTTCTCCTGTTCATCTTTTATTTATGTAATAGATTTGACATTAGTCGGGCTATGTGATGTGAATATGTTTTCCTCATAGCGAGTATGAAGAATATGCAATTGCATTTCTATAAATGGGACACAAATAGAATTTTGAAGTATTGTTTACCCTTCATTGATTTCTATTTGAAATTTGTTAATGAGTGTCAAGAGGCACTTGTATATTTTGATGATTAAACTCTTTTGTAACATGTCTGACAAAAAAAAAACTCTTTTGTAGCATGGAAGTTTATCTCAAATTTCAATAGGTTTTTAACTTGAAATGATATTTATATTTTGACAATAAAACCCAAATATGATTTTTTTTAGTTGATTGCAACACAAAGCATATAAAAAAGCTACTTATTACTTTTATTATGAACTATTCTTCAAATTTTGAAAATAAAAACAATTATTTAAGCGTAAAAATATCATATACAAATATCACTAGTTTTCTATTTTGAAAGGTGCCCAGTGTTTCGTATTAAATAAAAAACCAATATATGAATTTCATAACATGTATAAAAATGAGTGGTAAGACCCTAAACAGCAATTTGTTTGAGGAAGTCATCCATTTGCATGAAGGCACAATAGGAGGAAGAGTTCATGAATTCGCTCATCTTCTCATATTTTCATCCTTCCATAAGGTCTGTAATAAACATTAGGTTAAAGCCAGGAAAGTATTTGCTCTTGTGATCGCCATGCGGCAATTCACTTTGTCTCTGTGCCTTGCCATCCAATAAACATTGCCTCACTTTACTTCTATGATTATCTCGTGGCAAGATCACACGGCATAGTTTTGCCACGTGTCTCAAGCTCGATGAATAAACTTTGGTTTTGGATTTGTTTTCTCCTGACTTTTTTCTTTATTGAGTTTGAATTTCAAATAACAAAATTGTTGAAACAAAAGCATCTCAAATATATTCTCCCATATTTATCTCTTTCAACTTTTTTCTCTCATTGTTTTTAAACTTGAAAAAAAATTAAAAAGAGAAAAGATATTTTGAAAATTACTTCTATTATCCTTTCGAGAGGTTTATCTTTTTTGATTTCTATCTCTAATTAATTTTAAATTTGACAATATGGTATATAAGTATATTGTCATTCATAACTTATTTTGGTAATTATAGATTTAGTTAGAAGGAGAAGTATATCTTGTTGGATAAATAAGATGTATATTTCGAAGTATAATATATTTTAACATGTGATAAATACACAATTTAAAATAATATTAATGTAATTCGAAGGATAGCTTATGTTGTGAAATTTTATTCTCTAACTATAATATTTAATTAATAATAATTTATCAGAAAAAGAAGTTCAAATTAACTTACTTGAAACATGCATATTGACATTTCATTCGATTTTAGGTGCTCTTGAAATCCACTTGATTTAAATATATCTAACATCCTTTAAAGCAAATCTATTCAGTAAAAAATATTTGACCACAAAAAAGTAAAAAATAAAAAGTGTATGTATATTGATTTAAAGTACACGTAATTTGAAATTTATTCAACAAAATAAGAGAGAACTCAATAAGGTTTAATATATAAGTTTGTTGTTTGATAAATATTTTAAATACAGCAACTCAAGTAAAATTTATGCAATGGACAAAAGGAGATGATCTCGAGTGTTAATTTAGCAATTCAAAAGATTGAACAAAAATGACATTTAAACAATACGACGCTTAAATAAGGAAATCAACATACTCTAGACTAAAACAAAATTAAATTTGTGAAGAAGAAGCTGATAATTACAATCTTGTTTTCTAATTTTTTTCCAATACATGCGTTGAGCAAATTTTTAAATTTAAACTTTCAAGCCGCTTGTGTCCAATTCATAAATTTTTAGTCTGATTTGTTCTATCCCCAATGGGTTACAACCCCAAATTACATTAACACATACGCGAAAATACGTGTAAAATACATTATCAATATAAGTTAACTAGTTATTGTCCTTATGTAAATTCTACAAATTTTCACATCTCCACACTCCTTTGAAATCGCTTTGCAGAGCTTATCTACTCTCATAATTGCTCAGTGGGCAGGATCGGGAGACTCTCAGACCTAGTTTGGATTGACACCTTTGAAGATGGAGCTTATTATTATTAGTTGTAATCTATAAGATATATTCATTGGAATTGTAGTAAGTAATGTATCAGTTTTCATTCCACATTCAAAAGTACATGGATTGTCATTCTCATTGAACAATTTTTATCCATACAGTGGTCAGCCAATTTTGAAGTGCCGTTTATTCATGATAAATTATTAGAGCTTCTATTTTATTTCGCGTTTTCAGTAATAAAACTTAAAGAAGAAAGGTTTCCATTTGACAACTTTCTATGGATTTGCCCAAGTTGAATAGCAAAAGGCATATCAATTACTAATGGTGAATCATATACAAGTCCAACCGTTGCTGTCAAAAAAATAATGTCTGTACAAAAACGATAGAGCCCAAAAATTGGGATTGCGGCGCAGACGGTAGTAGTTACAGCCATCCGGTTTCTTGCTCTAAATCACAATCTCAGTTGCGCCGGGGCATAGATAACAATGTCTTCCTTGTGAAATTTGAACTCCAACGTCCATATCTTGATTCTCTCTTCTACTTAGCATGACTCCATCGAATGAGGAAGCTGCTCTTTTTGGCTCTTCGGAGAATCCAATCATTTCCAAACGGTAAGAATCCCCGCGGCATCTCCCATGAAGAATAGGCCTCCGGGAGCCGTCTCAAGAGTCCTCACTTCTCGTCTTGAGAATATCTTGCCCCTTTCAGTGAACCTGGAGTTAGATGCACGAAGTCAGCCCAGCAGAAGAAGAGAACGGTCTTCAGTGAGAGACAAGGACGTCAAACCAATTAGAGAAATGATTTGGACTTACGATGGGAGCTCGCACAAGCGAACAGTGTTGTCATTGCATCCGCAGAGAAGGACCGGCTTACCACGTGCATCCATCAGCCCTGACAGTGCAAGAATACCCTATGCAGGACAAAATGATATTCGCAACATCAACATATGATATTACGTCACTTTCGTGAGACTAGGAGCATGGTAAGAAACTAACAAAGCACTGACAGGTGGAAGAAGAAAATTTATGTCTTCTCCACATAGAGCAAGCACATGGAAGGTACTTGACAGTGTGGCTATATTACAAAGTTTCAATCCACATTATCCATATAGTTACATTTAGCCGCGGAAATAAAACCGAAAAGAATTAAGACAGGATCTTCGAGATCTAAGATTGTAAAAAAGGTTGTCCATGCACTTTGCACATATGAAGTCAATAAAAGAAAACACAATTTCACCTTTATTGTCTATACTTTTTCCTATAGTACCATCATCAACCACAAAATAACATAATCCACACAAGTTCAAAAAAAAAAAAATTTAGCACGCAACATGCATGGTCCTCATGATGGTATAGGCGACTTCCGAGCTGCCTCCTTCAGTGGCAATCCCCCAGACCTTAACTGTCTGATCCAACGAACAGGATATCAAGTACTCGTCCCAGCAAAGAAGCAACCTCACCACATCAGTGTGTCCAACAAGTTCCTGAACCTACTCCAGAGTGTTCAAGTCCCACACCTGCGGAAGAGAAAAACAGAAAGATGTGACGGGTCAGGACGATACCACAGTGGAGCGGGGCCAAAAAATACAGAGAGGACGTAGCAAACCAATAGAAGTGACGCAAAAGAAAACATAAACTACAGGGGCCAAGTCATGCCTTCCCAAGGACACACGACTAGATATAATCATGGGGAGAGACATCTAAGACAACCAGCTTACCCTTACAGTCCGGTCAATGGAACCTGAATACAACCGGTCGCGCCCAATAGTTAATGATACCACGCCCCGAGTGTGACCCATGAGAGGCGCAGCCATCTGAAAAGGAGCAGCCTCACTACCTCCTTTCCACACCAAGATAGCGCCATCCTAGAAGCAAAGTTCATTCAGTATAATCATAGAAAGCCAATATAATTCATCACAAGTATCAACAGAATGAGGCAGTCAGTGATCATATGGATGTTGACTTACGTGGGCCACACTTAAAGAAGCAGAGAAGAATTTCAGATCTAAACCAAAAATCCACTCTCACACTCAGCATAAACTTTTATATCACATATGCTGCTAATTCACGAAGGAACGAGATTCTAAAGAAACAGACTAGACAAAATTCCAGCAGATAAATCACCTAAATTGACATATTATTCCTTCTAATAATAAATTACCTGCGCTCCGGCAAAAAGCATGTTCTTAGCAAATTCCATAGTGTTGCGGAAGCCAAGCGATCGAACAATAAAATTGACAGAATAAGAAAATAAATCGGACACCAGATTTACGTGGTTCGGTCGTAGTGACCTACATCCACGGGAGAGCAGTACGGAATTCACTATAGATCAAGCGGTACAACGGAGATTACAAGCACACCTCGAGTCACTCAAACACTCTCGGTGTTTCCCAAGCCTCAATTACACCCAACAACTCACGCAAGTTTAGCCCCCACCAATTCCTCACGAAATAATCTCTCAATCTCACAAAAGAATTGTACACAAATCTTAACACAAGATTTAATCGCTACGAACACTTGAGCTCTTGGTGTAATTTCACGAACAAAATCCTAGTGAGATAAACCTACGCCAAGCACTCGACGTCAACCGCGGCGTTTCAAGACTTCTCTGCACTAAAAGCATCCCCTGACCATGAACATATATATCAGGAAGCCCCATGTTGGTCAACAAACGAAGTCCACGCGGATTAGGATCAAGAAACAAATCCAGCCATGCTTTTCTTTTCCTTTTATTTTATTTCTTCTTTCCACTTCTGGCCGTGAATTCCACAAGAATTAGGAAAGTATAATATTCCTTCTTTCTTCTAACACATTGACCGAATCAAAGTTCAACATAAAATTCATGTGGACTTTCCAGTTTGAGAACAAGGACTCCAACGTGCATTAGGAAAGTGAATTTCAAATATTTCCTTTTTGCTCGGTTTCGGAGATCCGCAAAATATCCAATTCGGAATATTTAGATTTCGCTTTGGGCTCAAACTCGCGACATATTTTCAACAATCTACACCTTGGCTCGACGTTTGAGCCAAGTAACAATCGCTTCAATAGAATCCGAATTCCGCTACTACTCTCCCACAGCCCCAATGGGCTCAACCGCCACAGACGTCTTTCAAGTCCAAGCCTCGCTTGAACTTCGCCATAGCCGTGGACCTCATCAGAATACCAACTCCACATGCACCTTTAACCGCTCCACAAGGATTTTCCGATACAATCTCCTTAACCGCAGATAAAGCAAAACCATTTTTGCATTCATATCTATTCGGAGATCGAATACGCACCTTGTCAATATCAACAGTTACAGCAACTGTTGGCTCAATAGGCTCCACCTCGCTACAAGCACCATCCGTGTCGATTATTTCGCTAGCACCCGCTACCTTAGGAGTTTCTAGTTGCAACTCCACCTCAAGCTGAACACCGTCCAGATCCGTATAAACACTGCTATTAACACTCCTAGCCAGAAGTATTGGAGACTCATCAAATGTAACTTCTCTGCTGATAATAGGTTAATTTAATTCCGGACACCACAACTTATAGCCCCGTTCACCGTGTGCATAACCTAGGAACATGCACTTTCTTGTCCTTCCATCGAGCTTACCATCACTAACTCGAACATAACATGGACAACCAAACATTCTAAGAACAGAATAATCGGCGGCGTTACTGACCACTTCTTCGGTAGTCCGACATTCAATTGCGATCGATGGGGATCTATTCTTCGGGTAGCTCGCCGTACTAAGCATATCCGCGGGAATCTCCTAGCCATACCAGCACTAGAGAGCATTTTATGTATCGTCTCTAGTAATGTTCTGCTCATCAACTCTGCAACCTGTTGTGGTTCATTGACACTAGTGCGGTGTCTCACTATGCTTTCCTTCATGCAGAATTTGTTTAACAGCTCCGAGCAAAACTCCATGCTACTATCAGTCCGCACCTGCTTGATCATTTTACCAGTCTCCTTTTCGATCAAAGCTTTCAACTGCCTGATCCTGACAACAGCATCAAACTTGTGCCTTAGCACAAACACCCAAGTCTTCCTCGAGTAGTCATCAACAACCTGTTAGCATAAATCCGCACTCTTCCTCGAAGGAAATCGCGACAACTCGCGAACATCTAAGTGAATTAATTCTGCAATATCCGTGGTTTCCTTAACAATCGTACTTGAACTGCACTTTCCGCCGTTGATCTAAATCACAGCACACCTGCATACATTCAATTCGTTAGCCACATAACCACATAGCAAATTCCTTTCACTTAGAACCTTCAGCTTCTCTCGCTAATGTGCCCCAAACGAATATGTCACAATTCAGACTCTCGAACCGATGCTTTCGACGTCTCCGCAGCGAATTCCGTCACATCTCACCTTGAAGCTCATACAGGCCACTATGCTTGATTCCTTTCATTATCACCAAGGCACCTCGAATAATTTTCAAAACTCCACATTCTGAAGAATACCGATACCCAGTTGAATCTAGGGCACTCAAGGAAATTAGATTTTTCTTCAACTCTGGAACATGTCTCACTCCAGTCAATGTCCACACAATACCATCATGCATTCGATTCTAACGTCACCAACACTTACAACATCGCATTCAGCGTTGTTCCCCAACCCGCACTTTATTACTATCCGTGCAACGATAAGTAGTAAACCGGTTCCTGTTTGGTGTAGCATGAAAAGAACAACCGGAATCCATAATCCATCCGCCAAACGACGAATCATCGTTGTGACAGACAAGACATAATCAGCATCATCCGAATTACCATCAGCTATAGCTGCAACATCATCCGTAGGATCAACTCTAATTCCTTTACCCTTATCGTTTTTCAGCTTAAGGCAATCCCTTCTAAAATGCCCCCTTTTGCCACAACTCCAACAGACAATACCACCGGTCATAGACTGACTTCGTCTATTTGAGTTCATACTACTTCGGCTAATACGTGTACCAGTTCTTCCTCTATTTTCACCTACTAAAGCAAAGCAGATACATGTTCGCCGATTCTCTTCTACGGATGTCCTCACTCGAATTAAATCTCGAACACCATCAAACGTCAAACTTGTTGACCCGGAGGAATTACTAACAGCGATAGCAATAAGTATTCCAACTATTAGGCAATGAGGATAATAGAATCAAAGCACGTACCTCATATTCAAAGTCAATCTCAACTGAACTCAATTGACTAACGATTACATTGAATTCATTGATATAATCTGCAACTGACGCACCTTCGCTCATCTTCAAATTAAACAGACGTCGCATCAAATAGACCTTGTTGATCGCAGAGGGCTTCTCGTACATGTCCTACAGGGCTTTCATCAAACACGCAGTGGTCTTCTCATTCACAATGTTAAACGCGACGTTACGTGCCAACGTCAGCCGAATAACACCCAAAGCTCGTCTATCCAGCAATTCCCAATCAGCTTGCTTCATCGTCTCTGGCTTCTCCCCAGACAAGGGCAAGTGCAGTTTCATCTGATATAGATTATCTTCAATCTGCATCTTCCAGAAACCAAAATCTTTCTCATCAAATCTATCGATTCTCACTTTTCCTTCTTCTGCCGCCATCGATTCGCTTTAACTCACCACCAAGCTCGATACCAATTGTTGCGGAAGCCAAGCGATCGAACAATAAAATTGACAATAAGAAAATAAATCGGACACCAGTTTACATGATTCGGTCGTAGTGACCTACATCCACGGGGAGAGCAGTACGGAATTCCACTATAGATCAAGCAATACAACGGAGATTACAAGCACACTCGAGTCACTCAAACACTCTCGGTGTTTCCCAAGCCTCAATTACACACAACAACTCACGCAGTGTTTAGCCCCACAATTCCTCACGAAATAGTCTCTCAATCTCGCAAAAGAATTGTACACAAATCTTAACACAAGATTTAATCGCTACGAACACTTGAGCTCTTGGTGTAATTCCACGAACAAAATCCCAGTGAGATAAACCTACGCCAAGCACTCGACGTCAACCGCGGCGCTTCAAGACTTCTCTGCACTAAAAGCATCCCCTGACCATGAACATATATATCAGGAAGTCCCATGTTGGTCAAC